GCTTTTTTTTTTTTTGATAGACATTTTTCAATCTCTGATTTCCTGTGGCTGTTCAAATAAATACCATCTTTCTTATCTCTCTTCCCTGCCCATCAGTCCGTTTTTTTATTATTTGATGCTCATCTGCTTGACATTTAGCTTCTCATGACATCAGAGCAGAATTCCCCACTGGAGCATATATAGAGATTTCTCCCAGTTACAGCTGGGGAAACAAGGCCAAAAAGAAGTGAAGTGATTTGCCCAGGGCCACCCAGCTGTCTAGAAGTGAGGAGGGGTCCAGCTCCCTGCTTTTTTAAAGACATTGGTTATGATTTCTCTGGCAGATCTGCTTAATCCATCTTAAATATTTCCTCCCCACCTGCCACTCTGGATCTGGAGATCGGAGTAGTTCTCAGACCTGGGACTGACCTGGCTGAAAAATAAGCTGGCAAAAAAAAAAAAAAGAAGTTATTTCTGTAGCTGGATGAGTTCCTGGTTGGCACCACCGGGTAGGCAGTGCCGGATGGGGCCGAGCCACTAGCTGGGGAGATTAGGAAGAGAGGGATGGGGACATGCCAGGATGGAGTGGCCACCGAGGAGGGTTCGGGGCACCAGGGCTCAATGCCCACTGGGGTTTCTGATGGAAGAGCTGGGCTCTGAGTGGCGGAAGGTGATTTTTCCTAAGACAGATGGATGTTTGGCTCGGGGGTTATCTGCCGTACAAATGCCCTTGGAGACGAGTCTCTGTGACCTTGTGACTTTTATTGTCACTTCTGTTCCTGAGAATGGGGTGCGGAGTAATGTACACTGACATTTTGCGACAGCTCAGCTCTCCCTCGCAAAAGGCGCTCCTGTTTTTTCTGAGATGTGCAAATTCCCATAGACATTTTTGACGGGAGAAAACAGAAACAGATCATCTTGCCGTTCGCTTTCTGTTCCTCTAATGCCAGCAGGTTTTCCTCCAACAAAAACATTTTGTTCCAGCTTCACTGTTTCAGTTGGCTTTTTTGATGTTTCTGCTTACATTAAAATCACAGTTTCTCATGCAGTGTCTACACATCCGCCTTTATATCCCACATCTGTTACATTTGATGCTTCATCTCCTAAAGGTTTGACATTTTCATTACGCAATGTGCCAGCATGTCTTGTTCACAATGGTTTGCAACTTCATTCAGAAAGAAACTGTGAAAGATGGAGATATATATATATATTTTTTAACTCCTGGTTTGATGGAAAATGTGAGTTTGGGCATGCCGGGATTTTCCCCGTGGCAGAAATCCTGCATTCCT